AGCGAGAGAGAGAGAGAGAGAGAGAGAGAGAGAGAGAGAGAGAGAGAGAGAGAGAGAGAGAGAGAGAGAGAGCATCTTCGTCCTCACGTCGTGCCTCCTCTCCTTCCTCATCTTCTTCCGCTGCGTGTGTCGCTGCTCGAGGGAGAAAGCCGGAGGGAAGCTCTCCTTGGAAATATATATTTTTTTCAGTTTTAATTTTTTTCCATATTTGGTCGCGCGCTTTCGGGGCGCGCGCGCGTGCGTGTGTGCGAATGGTGGACTTGGCCAACATGGAGACTGTCGAGAAGGAATGCGGGGCCCTCGGGGGTCTTTTCCAAGCCATTGTCAACGACATGAAGGTAAATACGTGTGATTGTTTCGTACTTTGCTGAATAACGACACACAACCCCCGCCCTCGTCCTCCTCCGTGGGAAGAACCTTGAGCTGAAATGAACCCCCCAAATGTCCCCAATTTGTCTTTTCCTTGACGTATTTATTTTGATGAACTCGCCGTTTTTGTTGACCCTCCCTCCATCCTCTTCCTCATCCATCCATGCTGAGAATGAAGCTTGCCTGCGCCCGTCCACCCGTACCCCCTCCCTGCATCCATTATCGGACGTGCCTTTTTAACGCATTGCAAGAAAGACTCTTTGAGCACCCCCCCCCCCATCGCCCCATTAATCCATTCATTCATCTCACAAACTCATTGATTTGCTTCCGTGCCTTGACGACGGCGTTAGACGCCCCCCCCCCCAGCCGTCAATCAGCGCCCCCCCCCAAAAAAATTGCCTCCTGTCTGTCTGTCTGCTGGTGGATTCGAGAGGCTGCGAGTGTGTCATTCCTCAGCATCCTCTTTGTGTGTCTTCGTGCATGCATGTGAATGATCATATCCCGGCATTTTCTGGAGATTTTTTTTAAATTTACGGTATTCTTTGAAAAATATGTTTATTATTGTGTCTACGAGAGTGCTGTTCCTAATATTTTGTCCCTCTCCGATGCAGCTAAGGGCAACAGCATCACAATAATAAAAGCACATCGTATATTTGGACAAATTTAATATATATATTTTTTCGTATTGGATCAGAGTGGTACACCGGGTGAGTACAGGCTGTCATTGGCTTTGTGATTGGCTGTGGACCCGGGCTGGACTCCAGTTCGGCCGTGACCCGAATGAGAACCAGCGCAACACGGTAGAAAAGGGGAGAAGGACAGCACGGGGGACTCGTGTTGGCCACTATCTGTCTCACAGCTCTGGGGTTCTGGGTTTGAATCTCAGGCTTCATCACCAGTTCGTAGTTTGTCTCTGTTTGCCCTGACATGGCCTGGCGACCAGTCCATTGTTTGTCTGTATGTGCCTCGGATTTCACAGAGACACGCATACTTAAAGGCACTCAAGTACTTAAATCGGTACAGATCCAATATAAAGCATTTTCCCAATTAGTGAAAGGTGATACGTGAGCTTGGCTCCCAAGCATGCGCACGCACGCACGCACGCACTAAATCTGTGGATTAGTGTCAAAGTGGCCGCAGCTGTGAGCGCATCTTAGCATGCATCCCGATGCCCTCTTAACTCCACTTGGAGATTTAAAGGGGACATTTGCTGTCATTTTAATAGCTTGTATACAAATGGTTGGGTGTCACCCATGGAGGGCGAAATGAAACAACCAATCAAAATTTCGTCAAATGAAAACAAGACTGCCAGAAAATTTGACTGAATTGCGATGTCCCGATTTTGCAAATTTACATCATGCCGCCCCCGCGCTGAGGTCTCTTCGGCACATGACCCGGCAGCTCGCGAGTCGCCGGCGTTGTCAGCAGTCTCAAGGCTTGAGCTTCCAGTTTCACGCAAGGTCCAAGTTACAAAACTCAAGCGAGTCGACTCAAGTCAATACTTGGGTTGAGCAAGTCATGAATCGAGTCAGGAAATCTCGCTCAGTCACAACATGTATTCATTCGCCCATGAGCCAGTTTGCACTCGCTATCCATTGTTGTGTTACCGAGCAGCACTCACAGAATAAGAGTCACATCCGATTTTAATGGTCATTTCAATGTAAAACTGACCTGAGATTGAATTCATGTTTGACCAACTACGAGAGAGCTAAATTGTTACTCCAGCGAACCCGCCTTTGTGGCTTAGTAACAAGAGATGAAGTTTGATGTCGTCGCATGTCGCCATTCTCTTATCCCCAATTTCAGCAAAAGCATAATCCTTGAACCCAAATACCATCATGGGTAGAGCCTCCTCTCTAATACTTTGAATGCTCCTGCTTTGCGAGATCATCTCTGCACATTGCCTCGTGCTGGCTCACTCCACAAAAAGTTACTTTTGATCACAAAAAAAAAAACAATGGCACACTAACTTGGCAATCGAGGTTCTTTAATGCCCTCGCATGTGGGCAAGGAGAGCCAAAGTCACGGATGCACTTTGAGCTTTTTTTTAAACATGTCAAGCAATCAAAAGCAGAAACACAAAATGAAAACACTCGCAAGGAGCGAATCCAACTCCAGCTTCCGATGTGACTCCCTCGAGGCCACAACCGTTAAAGGAACACATCCTACAAATGAATACTGCAGTATGGACGGCAATTCATAGCACCGATTGTTTTCTTGACATTCTTTTATTATATTTGTGAACAATTCAGAGCTATTTTGTCGTCATTTAAAAAAGAAAATGGGAGGCTAGAATGGATGACTGCCATTTCACTTCATTTGTATGTGCAAAAGTGGTTTGCTAAGAGTAATGGAACAAACAAAGCTTGGAAGTCAAAGTAAATCTGTCTGGATCAAAAGAGACACGGTTGCCTCCTTCCTCGATTGAAGTGAAAAACAACTTTGCCACGTTTGCCCTGAAAAAAGGAAACGCGTGCTTGTAAAGGTCAGCACCCCATGCAGTCAACAGCCATAACAAGAACAGGGCGGAGGTGATGCCCCACAGATGACAGAGGCTTGCAACAATCCTCAAAATTCGGTGCTGATCTCGTCTACTTTTCGTAACTAAAATGTGACAACGGCAACGGTACCTAGACTGATGAGTTTTACATCTTCTGAATAATGCAAAATCTGTCTGTCGTGTATAAAAGCATCAGAAAACAACAAAAGTGGATTCCATGAAATAAGCCGGTTTCACAAAATCTTGCAACTCTGCGTACTGTAGTATTGAAGCGGTTGGATTTTTTATTTTTTTTTGGTTTTAAAGGGCGTGGCCTCGTGAGTGAGTTCAGGAGCTGGAGTTGCGTTGACAGCCTTGTCTGCTTGTGAGCCTGGAGACATGAGAATATTCCTTGTGTACTCTCTGACAATGGGAGCGCCACTGACACCTACTGTAGTGGATGTGCAATTGATTTGATTATAGTATACGCTCTCCCACCCCAAAAAAAGTTCCCGACACAAAAATATAAAACAGAAATGTGCAAATTGGGATCATGTCCACAGCATCACTTTAATTGATGTAAAATAACCTGAAGGCAAATTCTGCCCAAATGAACTTTCTTTGTTTACCTTCGTGAAAGTATTCAAATGGACCACGGGGCAGCCATTACATCGGTCGATGTGCTTTTCTTTGTTGTTTTGAGCAGCGATCATGAAATTCAAGTCACTTTGACCACTTTGCTTCAGTGTGAGGCCACGTACATTTTGTTAACGGTCATGTGACTGCCTGGCTCAGTTTGATTGGTCAAATGGAGTCCGGCTCCACAAGCATTGGTGAAAGAGTCATGTGACAGTGCCCCAAGTGCATTGACGACGCATTTGTCCGCTCTTGTGGCTCTGTATGCGCTGTGAGCGGTCGTGGCGGTGACACGCGGCGACCGTGAAGCATCGTACGCTTTCCGGCGACTGAGCATTTAGCGTGAAGGCCGATCCGGCCCCCTCATACTTCTCCCGCGACCAACCATTTGAGACTTGAGCAGTCATTCGTGGCCTGGTTGCCAAGCAACATGGACACCTGTGACACAGCATCTCTATCACTGCTGTGAAGGAAGCATTCACAAGGGCACTTTATTTGCTACACTGATGAGAAGGCTCAGGTTTAGTTTCTTTTAGAACATGTTTATTATTGTGCTAAGCCAGATGTAACATTGTGACCCCGCCTTGGTGCTAAATAATAAAGCTCTGCGAGCGTCGAAAGGAATTGGATGAACGCAAGATATTACTTTATGCTGTTTTTTTGTGGGTGATAATTTTCTGTTTAAAAAAAAAAAAGAAAAAAGAAAAATCTGAAACAGTACAACAGTTCATAGATGAAAATTAAACACAAATTATGTTTGGTGTGCTAATCAGTGTCATATTTGAACAAATGAAATTCGTAAATGCTTCATAGTGAATCAAATTAGGTGAGTTTATTGAGTTTATTTGAATTTATATTTGCCTCAAAACGATGACAGTTACTGGGAAAAATAATTCTTGATGCATTCGATTGAAACTCAATAGTTTTGATTCATTCTGTCGCAACTGAAATTCAATAAAAATGCATTAGCTAACAAATTCACTGAGGTTGAGTAATTTTACTTAAATTTGGTTCTTATTCATATTGGCATGTGAAAACACTGCCTGGTCAAAGTAAATTCAAAATTTATTTTTCACTTGCAAATAATGTTGAGTATTGAAATGCACACATTTTGACATGAATGTTGAAATCCACAAAATAAATTAATATTGAAGTTAAGATTTGAATCAAAATGTTTTACATTAAAATTAAAATTAAAAAATGGATGTTTTGCATTTCTATTGTGCCCCTCGTGTGACAGCGACCTCACCCACTGCCCTTACGTACTCTTAGCACAGCATCCGTGACGGCACTTTGACCATGAGACCAACCCCCCCCCCACCCCCACCCCCCAAGTGTTAATGAGCTTGTTGACCCACAACTACACACCCTCCCCCCAAACACCTGAGCACAAAATGTCACGTCAGCAGCTCGGATGTGCAACGTGTCTTAAAAAACTGCCGCTTTTACTTCCTCTCCGCCTGCCATTGCAATCCTCCCTTCCTCTTTGCTCTCGGCACACGCACTCCACCCAAAAATGCTCTGTCTTGTGCTGCGTAGACTTGAACACACTCAGGTCACTGGAAAACCTTCCCCTTTGCTCATAAATCTCACCCCGATATAAATGTGTGCATGGGCACAATGTGTGTGTCCCAGTGTATCCCTGGAGGCCGGGCTTAATCTGCACTCATGCACACGCGGGGTCACGTTCACGGTCAGTATGCCGATACCACGGAAGAGAAAAAAAAATACTGTTTATGATTCCTACTGAACCGCTACACTGCATTTTGAAATGCCACTCCCACAAGATTCCCTAAAAAACAATAACGGGAAGAGAAACAACCCAAATCCAGTCACCCCCACTCTCTTACTGCG